AATTATATGATCAGAAAACAAGTGTGAAATAACTGGATTATTCGTTTGAAGATACTGGATTTGAATTACATAAATATATGAAAAAAATATAAATAAGGACTCTCAATTTTAAAAACAAATTTAAAACAAGGTTAATGAGAATCTAATGCTGATATAAGAACGAAGAATTAGGAGATGTAGATAATATTCAAGTGTTGACGGTAGTCTTCATTTATTATATTGAACGTTTCAGCTCATTTTTACTAACAGTAAAATTATAATCGTTTATATAACGTATAGACTGTTGCATTTCTGCCAATCTGAGTGACTTACTCTCAACGTAGTATTATAGACTATTTTTTGCTGAAGTTGACTCCAAAGTGAGCCGAAACATTCGTTACAATAAATGAAGACTACCGTTAACATTTGAGTATTATCTACATCTCCTAATATTGGATTTGATTCAATTATAGTGAAACAGATAGTGAAAAGACTATAATTCCACCCGTTTCTTCATTAAAAAAAAATTTCTTTCTCTCTTTTTTTGGCTAGAAGTACAGTAGTATTGCATCTCAACATATATATATAACACACATATCAAATAGAAGTTTTCATTTAACGGCTTTCATCTAAAAATTAAAAAATTTTTTTTATCTTTGTAAAATCATTAGTGGCCTGTAAAAAAACTGATTCATTTATAGTCGTTGACTACGAAGTGAGCTATTTTCAATAATTTCAATGTAAAAATGTATTTCGTCTACTTATTGTACGACTGTGCAATAGCCATATAATCGAGCGAAAACACAGAGCGGTGATATTATCGTTAAAGTCTCTTTTATGTAAATATTAAGTGTTACAAGTAGTATATAAGATAAGTATACTTTCCGTGTTTCGTATTAGTGCTAACTTATCTGTAAATTTTTTCGATAAAGTTCTTCCTATTCGATAAGTCTTCTCGCTAAAAAAATATACGATAAATTTTATTCGACTTTCATCGACTAGGCTTGTCAAGTATATCGGATCTGTGTGTAGGTTGAAGATTTTTGTATATGAAATAAAAGCTGAAAGTTGTTTAATTACACTCACACGTGATTGTTTGTATATTTTTAAAAACTAAGTTGTAAGTAATAAAGGTAATATAAAATTTGGCATCATTATTTTACATAAAGCTATTTCACTTCGATTTATTAAAGGAAATTTTTCAGCAAGCATGAACAAGAATGTCACAATGTGACATGTTTTATCAATGAAGAATACGTAAACTGTATCGAAGATTTTGTACATGAAATAAAAGCATCGTTTAACCATACATATGTCTCTGTTGTGTATTTTTTTCAAAAACGGATGATAATAAAGGTAATGAGCTGTAATAAGACATATAGATATTGTGGCGTCTGAAGAGAAAAAAGAAGAATAGATCACGTAGGATTTGCTCTCCCAGAGACACTTATATATCATATAAATTACTTTTAAAACATCAACTCAATTTATTATACAAAAAACAGTAATCCGAAAACGGTAAGTCAAAAATCGTATATCACTCGACTAACGCGATAACAATTTTGACAAAACTATCTACTGTTTTTTTTTTTATTAAAAAAGGACAGTTCGTTAGTAAAGATCTTCAGTAGATTATTGATTTCTTTATGCCAACTGATCATATATAGGGAAACGCAAATAAATAAAATTTCATCGACGCAATAATATGTACTTTTTTCAAAGATTTCTTTATTTTCCCCGATATTCTTGTATTTCACAATGTTATTTTTATTAATCTAGGAAGATGAGATGAGCAAAACAAGTGTACAGTAATAGCTGATAAATGTAATGCAGCGCGAGACGATCATGTTTCAGCGAGTTGTCGTTAATTTCATAAATATTGTCTCATAAAATAATTACAATTGTAAGTGTATGCTATACATATACAATGAGAATGTATTCATTTGTATGACAATATTTGACAATTGTAACAAGGAATTCGATATCAACTCTCCGAATATTCATTTTAAATATTCATTTGCGAATATCGTAATAAATTAGCTATCTGTATATAGTATGTGTATATATATATATATATATATATGTATGTATATATATATATGTATATACATATATATATTTGGATATAGTTCAAAATATACGTTTTTCCTTTTGGCATTACGTATGTTTTCTTTACGCATGTGTACATATACATGTGAAAAAGTGCGTGTGTGTTGTTTTACATATATACTGTTTCAGCAGTTAACTTTCTGCTTTGGCGTATATTTCTCGTCTCTCTATGTGCCCAATATGGTATACTGCGAGAAATAAATGAGATAAAAGGTATGAGAAATTAAATAAATTCTCAAGAAAAACACATTAAGATAGACATTGAAAAGCGCATTATAGCCGCAACAAGCAAAACACAGAGAAAAAAGAAAGAAATAAGAAAGAAATTTACAGTATACTTTTGCCAATAAAAGTAATTGTATTTCACACACGAGTATTTTTATCGAGAGATTGACTTTTCACAACGATTTAAATAATAATGACTCTGACTTCACTTTTGATAAGGCTGCGTCGCATTTAAACTGTGATACAAGAAATGATAGCTGCGATTTGGAGATTTACACGATGAACTCTATATTACAATTAGCGCCTTATCGCCCTTTGCAGATATTTATAAAAATAAATACTTTGAGAGAAAAGTGTTCCGTTCACTACCGTAAAATAGATATATATCGGAGCGATATAATAAATAATTATTAAAGTCAAATAAATAAATAATTTGCTTCGTTCAGCATATTCGTTTCGTAATATCTTTAACATACGATTTACAAGGCGACGGCTTGTCGTTTAAAGGTTCGTAGTGCCGCGCTTATTAAAAAAATATGGGCGTTATTCGATTTCGAGCGTACGTTTTCTGGATACTTAGCGAGAAGATCGATTTATATATCGTTAAGGATTCGTTACTATTACTTCTTTAAATTTTAACATCTTGACGATTTCTCTTTTAGTTTGATGTTTGTGCGAACATTGATCTATGGCCTTACGGAATGTGCACCCGATATGCAATGTATAAAACTTGGCAATTTTTCAAGGGGCACGTTTAAGTTATCGACGAACATAATACAATTATAAAATATAATGAAGATACAATGGATTTGGTCAGAAAAATCCAATCCAAAAACATTGTTAAATTGTCATGCTACAATAGCAAA